TTTGGGAATTTTGGGAATTTCGGGCTCTCACCGAAGCCGTCCCGGGTTTTTTTGGCTCCAATGAAGCAGAGCTTGGCCGTGGCCAGGTGAGTTCGCAGCTCCTCCCCCTCGGGACACTCGAAGGCGCTGGCCGGGATCACCTGGGGCTGGAAACTCACCTGGAGCCGCACCTGGAGCAGCGGCGGCGACCTGGGGACACACCTGGGGTCACACCTGGGGACACCTGGGACACACCTGGGGACAGCTGGGGACAGCTGGGGGAGCTGGGGACACCTGGGACACACCTGGGGTCACACCTGGGGACACCTGGGACACACCTGGGGACAGCTGGGGATACCTGGGGACAGCTGGGACACACCTGGGGACACCTGGGATACACCTGGGGACAGCTGGGGATACCTGGAGGGGCTGGGGACACACCTGGGGTCACAGCTGGGGTCACCTGGGGACAGCTGGGGGAGCTGGGGACACCTGGGGTCACACCTGGGGTCACCTGGGGACACCTGGGACACACCTGGGACACACCTGGGGACACCTGGGATACACCTGGGACACACCTGGGGACAGCTGGGGATACCTGGGGACAGCTGGGACACACCTGGGGTCACCTGGGGACACCTGGGGATACCTGGGGACACCTGGGGATACCTGGGACACACCTGGGGTCACACCTGGGGACAGCTGGGGATACCTGGGGACAGGTGGGGGGGCTGGGGACACACCTGGGGTCACATCTGGGGTCACCTGGGGACAGCTGGGGACAGCTGGAGACACACCTGGGAACACCTGGGGATATCTGGGGTCACCTGGGAGACACCTGGGGACAGCTGGGAATACCTGGGACACACCTGGGGTCACACCTGGGGATACCTGGGACACACCTAGGGACAGCTGGGACACACCTGGGGACAGCTGGGGTCACCTGGGGACACCTGGGCCACACCTGGGGACATCTGGGGGACACCTGGGGTCACCTGAGAGGGGTTTGGGGTTACCTGGACTCACCTGAGCAGCAGCACCTGGCCCAGGTGGGGTTTGGGGGTGAATTTTAGGGATTTTGGGGTTACCTGGACTCACCTGAGCAGCAGCACCTGGCCCCGTGCCCCCACGGCCAGGTCGGGCAGGTCATCCCCGCTCAGGTCACGGCCCCCGCTCAGCGATTGGCCGAAAAAATGGGGCTGGGACGGGAACGTGGAGCCCGGGATGCGCTGGGACAGGTGAGACACAGGTGAGAGACACAGGTGAGACAGGTGAGATATAGACAGGTGAGACCCCCTTGCCCAGGTGAGGCCTCACCTCTCCAACCTGAGCCCTCCCCCAGGTGTCCTTCACCTGTCCCAGGTGTGTCTCACCCCCCCCAGGTGTGTCTCACCCCCCCCAGGTGTGTCTCACCTGCACTCCCTGCGTGCTGACCCCTCCAGGTGTGCCCCTGAACAGGTAAATCGCTCCTTGGCCGTCGTCCTCCAGGGGAGCCCCCACGGCCACCTCAGCGCACCTGTCCCCGTCCAGGTCGCCCAGGTGAGCCAGGCTGGCCCCGAACCGGCCCAGGGGCTGCCCAGGTGAGCCCCGGAGAGACAGGTGACAGCGCAGGTGAGAGCTCTGCGGGGGGGACAGGGGAGATACAGGTGAGACGTGGACAGGTGAGGCCCCCAGGTGTGTCCAGGTGTGTCTCACCTGCCCAGGTGTGTCTCACCTTTCTCTGCAGCTCGCACAGGTCCACGCGGCCGCCGCTGCCCCCCCCGTAGAACAAGGGCGCCCCCACCAGGAGCTTCGGGGTCTCACCTGGCTGGGCCCTACCTGGGCGGGGCTCACCTGGGCAGGGCTGCAGAGCCAGCAGCGACGCCCCGAAATAGGAGCCCACCTGGGGAGGGGGGAGAGACAGGTGAGACCCCCCCCAGGTGAGACCCTCCCCCGCCAGGTGAGACCCCCCCCCGCCAGGTGTCCCCGGCCTCACCTGTGGCCCGGTGGCCTCGGCCAGAATGGTCCAGGTGTGTCCGGGCTGCAGCACCAGGACCCTGCCCAGGTGAGCGTACCTGGGCGCGCCCAGAGCCAGGCCCCAGGTGTTACCCAGGGCCACGGGCACGGCCGAGTACCCTGCGGACAGGTGAGCACAGGTGAGCACAGGACCCTTTGGGTGTGCCAAGGTGTATCCCAGGTGTGCCCAGGACCCCCCAGGTGTGCCCAGGTGTATCCCGGCTGTGCCCAGGTGTATCCCAGGTATCCCCAGGTGTATCCCAGCTGTGCCCAGGTGTATCCCAGGTATCCCCAGGTATCCCCAGGTGTATCCCGGCTGTGCCCAGGTGTATCCCAGGTATCCCCAGGTGTATCCCAGCTGTGCCCAGGTGTATCCCGGCTGTGCCCAGGTGTATCCCAGGTATCCCCAGGTGTATCCCAGCTGTGCCCAGGTGTATCCCAGCTGTGCCCAGGTGTGTCTCCCTTACCCAGGTACGCGTCCCTCATGTCCGCGGCGTCTCCCAGGGGTGCTCCAGGTGTGCCCAGGGGTGCTCCAGGTGTGCCCAGGGGTGCTCCAGGTGTGCCCAGGTGAGCGGCGGAGCCGTTGACGAAGGTGGCCGCCCCTCCCCCACTGTACACGAAGGCTCCCCCGGACCAATCAAAGGC